CTGAGTGCAAGCAGCGATGACACCTCAACCTGGACTCAGTATATTCCTTTGGTGGGCTTACAAACCACACACATACACTATACAGACATTTAGGGCAGTTAGAATTACAGAAGTCAAATTCATTGCCACACTTGAGCACAGCACGGGAATTCCTTCATTATTAGGCTCCTCAGTTGTACAGAGTGCTTTGTATGGATGAACTGTAGCTAGTAGGCAAATAATAGAGTGAATATTAAAACAATTTTCCTATAAAGAAGGACAATCAAGCAGTTTATATAAAAAAATTAAAAAAAAACACTAATTAGAGCTAAATAAACTCCCATGGCATTTCAATATCAGACCCTATCCATCATTTGTTGATGCTGTTGTTGTCTGTTGATTGGAAAGATATGCTACAACTGCTAATCATGCCTGGTGCGCCTGGTATTGAGAAACCGCAAATTAGTGGACTCTAAGATAACATGAAAACATAGCAATACTGCCCCCATCAGGCTAGAAGAACATACTGAATACTTAAGTTCTTCTCCGACTGGTTTTGCCTCCGGAACCAGATTTTACATTAGACATCAAGTGGTGAAACAACACTAACAAATCATTTATCATGCAGAATTAAACAAAAAATGCTTAATATTATATTCAAAGATATAGTTTTAAAAATCATTCTAGATTTAAAAGAATAGCAGAATCCACACCACAACTATAACAATAGGAACGATATCAGTGGAATCGCTTTCTAAACAAATTTCTTTCAGCTGATGAAGGATAAAAACATTTGACAGCCAATCAGAATCCATCCTGCTTTAAAGAGCGAGAATTTAAAGTGGCAGATGACAGAACTGCAGCATGCACTTATAATAAACAGAACGCTATTATGCGTTGATGTGGACGCTCATAAAGTTATTGTTATAGATCTCGTTCTTAATGTGAACAGCATTAGTATTTGACTGCAGACCTGCAACTCAGTTTTGATTCACAACCCACCGGTTGAGAACCACTGCTCTAAACTATAAAGGCTAATATTATTTTACAGCAAGGAATGCAATTATCCAGAACATATTATATTTTCCTACTAGACTGGAGCTAATAGTGGGCAGATATAGCCCCTGAACCAGATTATATAAAATCTAAATATACAATACTTATTCTTTCTGTGCTTCACAGCCAGTTGATCAAGGCCAGCACTATCAGAAAGAAATGAACCCTCTTCTTCACTCTAATCCCAGGTAAGAGAAAAACTATGTTTTTAGCCTCTCTATGTCTGTATGGTATAACTTTAAGCCATTATGCTAAGCTTGTCAGTGTCTTAAGTGTTGAGGCTCAGACGTGAATGAGTCATTTCAGAACTTTATCATGCGAGTTCATAAGAGAACTCTTGTCAGCCCTCAGGCTCATGCACGTTCAATAATTTGGACTTCTGAGAAGTGGTAACAAAATGTGATCGGGATAGCTTTTTGGGCACTGAACATTTTGAAGTTTCCATTGACAATTTTATTCAATTTTTCCAGGATACTAAAAAGAACTTTTGAACATCAAAGCATAAAAAAAAGAGAACAGGTGGTGTGCTCCACAAAATGTTATGCCAGCCTTCAAAAGATTTAGCTGCCATTCATTTCATGACAAAACTGCCAGACTGTCTACATAACAAAGCGCTTCAACTTTTTGTCTCCTCGTTATTTTTCTTAGTTTTTGATATTAAATATAATAATAATAATAATAATAATAATAATAATTTGTGTTAATACTCACAATTATTTTGTATTTATTGTATTATTGTAGTAGTAGTAGTATAGAAATATTGTACAAAAACGTAAGTTATAACTAATAACGAACATTTCATATTTAATCTTTTATTAGTATTATTATTGTTATCATTACATTAAAATATAATCAAATTAATAATAAATAATTAGTGTTAACTATTTTGTTTATAAAATTTATATACTTACTACTAATAATGTTCTAATAATTGACAGTGATAATGATGACAAAAATATAATAATAATTTATTATTAATTAATCATTTAAAATGTATTTATTATTATTATTCTAGTATTATTTAATGAATTACATAAACAGAATTATTATTATTATTATTATTATTATTATTATTAGTCGTAGTAGTAGTATTTAAAAAATAAAGAGAAAAATAATCTACACTATAACAATTAAACATTGTTTAGGAAGAAAATGATTCTGCATACTGACTGTTTAAGTAGACTTATAAATTAGCCAATCAAAAATCATTTATAGAACTGTGTTAATAAACAGTGTGTAAATATTTTTTACACACTATTTACAATCCCAAAGCATAGCTATGGCTAGTTTCCTACGCAGAACTTTTCCTGTCAAGGGAAGCTGCCCACACTGCCATGCCTCAGTGGAGAGGAAAAGTTTCTCAATTTAATGTATGATCCCTGCCTCAACTGTTACTTTGATCCACAATCTGGGAAATATTACGAACTGCTCTGATTCCGAGATGAGCTACATCTGCAACCATGTTTTTCAATACTGCCATTTATATGTATGGATTAGTTGAAGCATGTTGTCCTTCATAACATTTAATGGTTTTAATGGAAAATGGGGATTTAAAGTAATTTTTGTAACCGTTTCTAATATAATTTTCGTTTTTAGTAATAAAACTACATTCAAGCATGTTTGAGCTCATAACAGATGTTTTCAGTAAGCAAGAAATAAACTCATATTGTTGAAACCATTTGTTTTTTTATTAGTCCTGATTTTATTCAAACTTCCTAGACCTTATGTAAAACGAACTAAAATTATAAAATATTTGCAATTGAATTCAACGTTGTAAACGAATCTCACTTTTTAAAAGTGATCCTACCGTACAATGTTGACGGAAGTCTTCGCGTTGCCACACGATCGACCAATCACGCTCCCGTTACTCCTTTACGTCATTTGACAGGTAGCATAACTAGGAAGTAAACATCTATAATGGCGAGAAAGTCGTTGAAGTTAAGCCACTGCTCAAATATGTTACTAAACTTGATTTTAAATAGTATTTTTTATGAGTTCGCCTTCGCCTTTCCATCACATCGCGAATCCAGACAGTCAGAAAGTTTGGAGAAATCCACCTCAACACCAAACAATCAACAGGTTCGTTATTTACTTTCTTGCGTCCGTCACTTCTCTCAGTTTGCATACTTACTTACTATCCATGATCTGTTGTTTCGCAGGTTCTAAGACTCCATTTAGGAGTTATCGCGTCTGTTGTGATCGTTATTGTGGCTGCAATAGCAGCTGCTGTCTTCATCATACAGAAATACTGCTGTCCGCAGAGGTATATGCAACGTGTTTTATTTGACAGCGCAACCTAACCTTACAATCCTGTCACCAGAGTTGTTGTACGAAAAAATACGTTGCAATAATTTATACAAAAGTTAATTAATATAAACCGATATTTGTTGCCAAATTTGTCCCTATTAATTGACAACTAAATGTAGACTATTTTATTCCAGTAATGTAACGTATAGATACTCAGAGCTGCGACAAATGGAAGAGCAAAATGCAGCCAGAGAAGAGGACGATGGTTCAGATGAGGTTAGTATGTGTGGCATTTTAAAAATTAGTAGGCTAATAATAGCCTTCAAAACTAAATATTTAATTACCTTTTATTCTTACTCTGGGTTTTCTTTCCACAGGACCTTTTGGAGTGAATCGTGTAGCGCAATTTATCCTTGACGTTTCTCTTCTTTTTTTTTTTTTTTTTTTTTTTTTTAATACTGTGACATTATATGGCCAAAAGCATCACATGGGTCATTTAAAAACCACCATGAGTTCCTGAAATATTTATCTCTGTTCCACCATTTTCCAGCACAGATATGTCCACCAACCAGTTAAAATTAGCTGGTTAAATTTGTCAGGATTCAAAGGCTAAAATCTCCTTCATGAAAGCTGTGGGGAAGCGGTTCAGAAATATTAAGATGCCCATTAGAGATAAAAGTTACTATGATTTATTTGCAGGCAAATAACTTATGAAACGAGCTGTTATGGTTGTGGTGCCCATTGCTTAAAACTTGGTCAATACTTGGAACTACTTTTTAAAGAAGAACTTATTTAGTATTTTCTTGAATTTCTCAATGCAAGGTACGTTGTACCAAAGTCTGTTGAAATGATTGTTCCTCTATTTATTGTGCCTGACCTTTTCTTTTAAAAAGACAGCTTTATGATCTCCGGGTTGTTCCCACTGGATACTGTGAACAGTGTCACCAATACCAGAAGCACATCTGAAATGGCATTTGACTGTAAACAAGTCTTATCCACTGTAATGATGCTGCAGACTTTGCATTTCAGTGCCTTACTGAAGTCTGTTACTGTATAATTTAACTCTTGTGGTATTTTGAACAATAATCTGCACTCATATGCCGGTATTGGTATTTATAGTGGCAGTGTTTGGCTTCACCTCTATTTTAAGATGACAATATTGATACAGAATTATCATGTGCAGTCCAGAGCTCCACAACAGTGTTTTATGAGCTCAGTCCATGATGGGAAGTATTTTTGATTGATGATGATTGAATTCTGTATCTTTAGATTTTCATATGTTTGCACCTTTTCTGAGTCTGAACTACTGACTACTTTAAAAAAAAAAATTTTTTTTTAATTTAACTGAGAAGGAATAAAATTATATACATGAATATTCCTTGTATGTTTGATGAATATGCTTAAATTTTTCTCACAGATAGCCACAAGAGGGCAGCACACAACTGTAAAATCATTTAGCATGGAATAACAATATCTGTCTAGGTGACAAGTTAGGTTAGATGAGGTTAGACTTGTTTGAATTTAATGGTGCAAATTTACCACACCTTAAGGTAGAGCCTGCCAGATCAGGTTTCAGGCAGCACCATAGTCCAGAGAACTTTCAAACAGGTAAAAACTCAAAAGTAACAAGGGAAAAAAAATTCTTGTGATTCTAGGCAGTTGCATTTTAAATCATTTTATTATATTGCATCAGGCATGTGAGAATCCCAGAAGATTATTTTGGGCTACCAAAAATGAGACTTAAAGGTAAAGAAATCATTTTTAGCTTTTCTGATTATTTTGTATGACTGTTTGTGTGTATATTGAGCATATGTTACTTGTGTTTTTCAGATCATGTGTATGTTCTCACAACAATGCTGATCATCTTAATATGGTGTTTCTCTGTCAACTGGTCAAAACTCCAAGAAGCTGCCAAACGGTTATGTAATGTACATGGTGATTGTTCCTCTATTTATTGTGCCTGACCTTTTCTTTTAAAAAGACAGCTTTATGATCTCCGGGTTGTTCCCACTGGATACTGTGAACAGTGTCACCAATACCAGAAGCACATCTGAAATGGCATTTGACTGTAAACAAGTCTTATCCACTGTAATGATGCTGCAGACTTTGCATTTCAGTGCCTTACTGAAGTCTGTTACTGTATAATTTAACTCTTGTGGTATTTTGAACAATAATCTGCACTCATATGCCGGTATTGGTATTTATAGTGGCAGTGTTTGGCTTCACCTCTATTTTAAGATGACAATATTGATACAGAATTATCATGTGCAGTCGCTCGCTCCACAACAGTGTTTTATGAGCTCAGTCCATGATGGGAAGTATTTTTGATTGATGATGATTGAATTCTGTATCTTTAGATTTTCATATGTTTGCACCTTTTCTGAGTCTGAACTACTGACTACTTTAAAAAAAAAAAAAAATTTTTTTAATTTAACTGAGAAGGAATAAAATTATATACATGAATATTCCTTGTATGTTTGATGAATATGCTTAAATTTTTCTCACAGATAGCCACAAGAGGGCAGCACACAACTGTAAAATCATTTAGCATGGAATAACAATATCTGTCTAGGTGACAAGTTAGGTTAGATGAGGTTAGACTTGTTTGAATTTAATGGTGCAAATTTACCACACCTTAAGGTAGAGCCTGCCAGATCAGGTTTCAGGCAGCACCATAGTCCAGAGAACTTTCAAACAGGTAAAAACTCAAAAGTAACAAGGGAAAAAAAATTCTTGTGATTCTAGGCAGTTGCATTTTAAATCATTTTATTATATTGCATCAGGCATGTGAGAATCCCAAAAGATTATTTTGGGCTACCAAAAATGAGACTTAAAGGTAAAGAAAACACTTTTAGCATTTCTGATTAATTTGTGTAACTATTTGTGTGTATAATGAGCATGTATTAATTGTGTTTTCCAGATTGTGTGTATGTTCTCACAACAGTGCTGATCATCTTGATATGGTATTTCTTTATCAACTGGTCAAAACTCCAAGAAGTTGCCAAACAGTCATGTAATGTACATGGTGATCACATATGACAGCTTGTTAATCCGTGACATTATTAAAATCTATTTTTATTACTGTTATGTTTTAGTTTGGCTAAGATTGGGGTTGTTTTATATTCCAGATGAAGTTAGTGATTTTGTGACCAACTGTGACAATCCAGGTAAGCTTAATTTTTATGCTTATTTGTGGAGGAGATGGAGTTTAAGAAAAGTTTATTAGGGTGCAGTACTGTATTTTTTTTCGGGCAACTTGTTTAGAATCCCAGAAGATTATTTTGGGCTACCAAAAATGAGACTTAAAGGTAAAGAAAACACTTTTAGCATTTCTGATTAATTTGTGTAACTATTTGTGTGTATAATGAGCATGTATTAATTGTGTTTTCCAGATTGTGTGTATGTTCTCACAACAGTGCTGATCATCTTGATATGGTATTTCTTTATCAACTGGTCAAAACTCCAAGAAGTTGCCAAACAGTCATGTAATGTACATGGTGATCACATATGACAGCTTGTTAATCCGTGACATTATTAAAATCTATTTTTATTACTGTTATGTTTTAGTTTGGCTAAGATTGGGGTTGTTTTATATTCCAGATGAAGTTAGTGATTTTGTGACCAACTGTGACAATCCAGGTAAGCTTAATTTTTATGCTTATTTGTGTGAATTTGTGGAGGAGATGGAGTTTAAGAAAAGTTTATTAGGGTGCAGTACTGTATTTTTTTCGGGCAACTTGTTTATTTCTTTGGGCAGGTCTGTTTAAGTCTCATTTTGGTTGCTGTCCACATAAACATTGCCCTGTCAACCACTTCCCCTTCCACCTTCACAGCGGTGTAGCCAATGTGGTGGCTGCAAAAATCTGCTTTAACAATACAATGTAAGAACTGTTACAGCTTATTCATGACAGACTAACACAGTGGTGATTTAAATGAATTGTATACAATTCTGTCATCATTTCCTCGCCCATATGACTTGGAACACAACATGAGAATGAGATATTCATCAGAACATTCATGCTTACAGTGAGATTGCTTGCACATTTGAATATTTTCAAAGAATAGCAACAAATCTCTTGTCTGTTCCTCACACAAACCTGTTGTATGGCTTGTAGCACACAAGTCTTGATTACTTCGATTACTTTTAGACTTAGTTTTTTTTTGTGTGCTTTCATTTAATCATATTTTCTAAATGCATTTATTAAGTAATTGCTTAGAATCAGTATAAATCTGTTCATTGTGAAAACAATTAAATTTAATCCAACTATGAAAATGGTTTAAATATGGCTATAGCTATGGAACAAGCAAGATTCGTTTTTTTAAATGTATCAGATTAAAACAAATCAGATTTATTGATGCTATATATATATATATATATATATATATTATAAACTCTTATTACTTATTTCATTTATGCATGACTGACAAATATTCACCATTTTTAAGTTGTATTGAGATAAATGATGACAGTTTTCATTCTTGAATGAAATATTTTATGAAATGGTACTTATAGATGCTAAATGAGGGCAAATGTTCTTCTCTACAGCATCATGGGCGGCATCAGGAATAATGCAGGAGAAGGGCTAAACATTGTTATAGCAAACGGTTCGTTTATTTAAAAATAATTACAGGATTTCAAATTTTTTTTTCCATTTAATTCAAAAACATCTGAAATCATTTTCATATTTACTTATGTTAAAAATATTTGACTATATATTTACGCAGGCATTAATATTTATTAATATATGCAAATAAAATTCTATTTGATTAATTGACTCTTCTTTTCTTAGGTGACACCGGTAAAGTTTTAAGAAATAAGAACTTTAATCTGGAATCTAGAGGTAGGTCTCTTAGTGAAATTGTGCTTGCAAGAAATTGAATCTAACAAGATGTGAAGTAAAACTATCCTGATGTACGGAACCACTTGTTTGTCCTTCGAGATCCCCAGGAATTACTTGCCTATCTAAAGACACTAAAGCCAGGAAATATAGTGCTTGTGGCCTCATACATTGACCCTACAACAAAGTAAAAATGTGACAGCCTTCACACACCATCAACATGATTAACTTGGCTTTAGAGTTGAATTATTCATACATGTCTCACTTCCACTGCCACCGTCTCTTTTCCAGGCTGACTGATGAGATTAGAGATATATTCAGTGCACTGGGCAGCACGATGGTCAAATCCCTGAAGCCCAGAGATAGCTGGGTATTCGCAGGCGCCTATGGAATAAAGGAAGCACGTCCTTTTGAAAAGGTTGGAACATCTTTTTAAGTTTTTCATCAAATATTTATATTTTACTTTGGTTTAATTTCAGTGAGCGAAAATGAGTTTTCAGTGTTTTTTTTTTTTTTTTTCCTTCTTTTTTTTAGTTTTAAGTTGGTTGTTTTCTCTGTTATGTTTAGCTAATTCAAAATGATATGAGGAACAACGCATATGAAGACTGGCCAGAGATGGGGGAGGTCATTGGCTGCTTTCCCAGAATATCTGAGAATGAATAAGCCACATTAGCCAACCTCATATCACCACGTTTGAGACTTGAAAATAGGACATTAACAACACTGAAGGAATAGTTTACTCTCGTATTGCTCCAAATCCATATGACTTCCTTCAATGGAACACATCAGGCGAAATTTTGCATCTGTTTATGCTACTCTTTTCTAGAGCAACATTCTGCCACTATGATAATATTATAAAACAAAAGTACATTTGAAAGGTAATACAGATGATTCTGTTGTCATACGGAATTCCTTCACATTGGTTCTTATATAAGGTAACATTGTTGCTGTTGATATTAACAATGAAGAGTGGAAAACGGGAAAGTGACATCAGTTTAACACAGTCCCTTTTTTCACTCCCCCTCCTTCTGCTGATTTGTAGTACCAGTTAGGACACTGTATGCACTCTAGGTTGTAAAAGTGTGTGTGTGTTTGGGTTTGCTTGGAGGGATGTACATCCCCTCCTGCTTCTCCTCTTGCTCTGCATTGAAAGTAGCAGGTGGAATCCCAGAGAAATTGTTTCTGGAACAATCCTGAGGCACTGAGCATTCTGCACCTCTGGAATCATGGGTGTGACCCATGGAAAGAAAGTAAGGATATTTTAATCCAGTTTGAAGAACCTGTTTGTTGCTATGTTAGGAGTGCAAGTCATACATCTACTCTAAAGGTCTGACAGGACTTTGTTACACAAATGGATGATTGTAAATGGATGTTGTTCAAAAGCGTTGTAGGCTTAAAATGCTGAAATTTATGAGGTGAGACCGTTTCTTTTGTTTGATGCTATTTTCCTGTTTGTGTGACTTCAAATCAATGTTTGATCATGAAACAATTGTTCTAATATATAAGCTAAAATATACTTATTATGTATATACTTAAAATGCACATTAAATGATGAGTTGAGTGTCTAAGTTCATTTGCTTTCAGTTCTTAGGAATATTGTTATTTTAGTATTATTTATATACTATTATAGTTTTTATGAATTTGAATTAGCTTTTTTATATTTTCTGTTTAATTTTAGGTTATTTTTGGTTATTTTGTTATGTGCCTTTGACTATTATTATTATTATTATTATTATAATAATAATAAGGTTTAATATATTTTTATATTTTAGGTTTTATTTATTTCAAGTTAGTAATGTTAATGTTTCAACATTTCTTTGCCAGTTTTTCATCTAATATTTATTTTATGTATTTTAGAATTTTATTTCTATCATTTTTTTACATTTTATAATTTTTCTATAATTTTATTTTATTGCAGCTTTATTTCAGTTAACACAAATATTTTAAATAGTTTTAGTTCAAAATAATAACCCTGCATTATAGAAAATAAACTTACATTCTTCTCAAATCCAGATGTCTTAATCTGTAGCTTTCATGTCTTTTGAATTCTTTCAGTGTAAAAAAAAAAAAGTATGTATTTAGTTGCAATCTGTGACATTAACCTCATTTGAATTCTTTCTGATTTTCTTTCCCGTGGTGATTTAGTCCAAGGACTCCTCGTGACTTTCCTGACACAATCACATTCTAGACCGCAAACAGATTATGAAGGGAAAATGGAGAGTTTGTTTGGCAGGGCCAGTAATGAGGTGGCTAAATGCCAGCTGGTCCCAAAATGATTTTAGTCCAATATGATCAACCCAGCATGGTGTTAATGCGCACACACACATACCCACAATGCCTCCCTTGTGTTAGTTTAAATATCTCTAAACACACAGGGCTATTGTCCTCTTCATCAACAGCTTTGGAGATTACTTTCATTCGTTTGGATGGATGAGACAGTGCAATGTTCTATTATAACTTTTTGGAAACAATAATAGTAATATGGTTTTTGTTCACTACTATGATGGTAATAGCATGGTATTACCATGGTAAATGTTAATCATACAGTACCATGGTTATATGCTGTCACTATATAGCATGTGACTGTGAAAAGCAGAGGAAAAATGCAAAAGTAAAATAAAAATTGTTTTAAGATTTTTTTTTTTTTTTGTATTTTGCCTTGTGGTTAAAATATAATGACTCGTATCCATTTCCTTTCACAGGCAGATCATAATCATCAAAGTCATAATTCCTCTTGTGCTCAACCACTTATTGGACCTGGTGAATCAGGTTTTCTACGTTCCTTTCATATTATTTGATGCAGTTACATTGATTAATTGTGCTTTTCATTATTATTACTCATGCTTTCTTGAACAAAGGTGCATTTGTTGCTACAGTCATGTGAGGTGTCCTATTATTTTTCTATGTGAATTAACTTTTCTCCTGGTGGATGCTATTGTCTGTTTTTTAAAGGGACGTTCACCAAAAATTTTAATTTGCTGAAAGATTCACCCTTAATGCCATCAAGTAGGTTTGTTTCTTCATTGAAAGCGATTTGGAGCATTACATTACTTGCTCACCAATGGATGCTCTTCAGTGAATGGGTGCCGTCAGAATGAGTCCAAACAGCTGATAAAAACATCACAAGTAATCCATACAACTCCAATCCATCAATTAACATCTTGTGAAGTGAAAAGCTGTGTGTTTGTAAGAAACAGATTCATGATGAAGATATTAACTTCAAACATTTGATTCTAGCTAAAGTCCTTCTCAACTGAAACCAATATTGCTTTCTCCAGTGAAAAAGTCATCTTGTCTGAATCAGGAGAGAAATATGCACAGATCAAGCACAATTTACAAGCAAAAACAGTTCTAAACTATAAAATATGTTGTCGGATTTTAAAGTCCATTGACTACAGGGAAAGGACTTTTTCACTGGAGGAAGCATCATTATGGACTGGTATTTTGGCCAGAAGTGATTGTTTGAAGTGAAAACAAATCCATAATTACACTCTAAAAATGCTGGGTTGTTTCAACCCAACTTTGGGTTAAATATGGACTAACCCAACCGTTGGGTTAAAATTTTTTTATTACATTTTTAACCCAAAAGTTGGGTTAGTCCATATTTGACCCAAAGTTGGGTAGAAACAACCCAGCATTTTTAGAGAGTAATTATGGATTTGTTCCTTACAAACGTGCCGCTTTTTGCTTCACAAGATTTTAATTGATGGACTGGAGTCGTGTGGATTTTTTTTGTGAATTATTGCGATGTTTTTATCAGCTGTTTGGAATTTGCTGGGGGAAAAAATCAGCACATTTTCATTTTTTGGTGAATTTCTTTAATAGAATGCTCTCTTTTGCTCCTCTCCCTTTCTTAGATTTAATCTCTGATCTTGGATCAGTGATAGACCCTGAGCAGAGGTGGGGCAGAGAAGAGGATTTAGACCAGAGCAAGCTGCTTCCTGAGCAAACGGACAGTGGTTACTATGAAGAGCTCATCCGGCCCAAAAAGCTCCACAATCCCGTCAAAGCATCCAAGAGCCACCGGGAACTCCAGAGAGAGCTGATTATTACACACAAAAGGTGGAAATTGACCCAGAATTTGAGTTTGAAAAAATTTATGCACGAACAAGCTTAGTTGCAGCCTTAATTTATCACCTGACCCAATTCCTAATCTCACTTCAAACAGTACCCACAGAGGGACTGCTGAGTTTAAATCTCTCTTGCATGTAAATGTTTTGTCCAACAGATGGCAGTAAACCCAAACTTGTGTGTGCAGTTTGTAACTAGAGCATTATTATAATCCAAAATTGTACTTATTTATTTGATGGAACAATGAAGCGTTTAGTATTTTGAATATCTACCATTAACAAAGATGAATAAACACCGTTACAAGTGTATTGCTCATTGTTAATGTTGGATTATGCATTAACTAATGGAATCTTGTAAAGTGTTACCATATTTGTAATCATTTAATGGTTTAAATATAATAGTTTATAATCATTATTCATCCATTTATACTGTATGTAATACAATAGAAGAATTAACATGTTAAGGTTGTTCTAAAGGGTGATCTTGACCTTAAGGGTCCACATCCTAGATTCCTTTTAATTGCAATGAATGAGCAATTTCTATTATATGCAATATAATAACACTTATCTCATCTATCAGAGGAGCAGTGGTGGGGGAGAAGCCAGAGTTGCAGAGAGTTCTGCAACAGAGAAACCGAGCTCAAGCTCTGAAACAAGACATAAAACAGGACAAGGAGAAATCACCACTGGAACAGGAGTTACTGAAGAGACAGATGAGGTTAGAGAAGGTAAAACCTGAAATACCATTCCTCAAACTATATCAAAATTAGTATTTATATACAATATCAGTGTTGAATGGACAATATTGTTTGATATACGCTAATAAGGCCTTTAATTGCCGGGAAGTAATCCAAATTACACAGAATGCTCCGTTATTTTGGTTATTTTTACATCTCAAGTCCAGATCACATTGATCTTGGGTTCCGAAAAATGTGCTGTCAATCGTAATTCAGGGGAAATTGTAACATTTTTACATTTTCCTTCACAACTCACAGACTACTTGAAATACGCTAGTCATCTTTTGATACAAGAAACAAATAGGTGCACTAATTATTAATACAATTTTCACTAATAATAAGGACAAGACTATAATATTAAATTAAATGCAAGAAGTCAGAGTGTTACAATTGCCTCCTTGGTGGGGGCGATTGTAACAGTGTTTGGGGGCAACTGTACCACTAAAAAAAAAGTCATATTAACCCACTGTTTCTCAAAGAAAAGCCTACCTCAAAGTAATCACTTTACTGCTGTGGTAGCCTATCTAATGCAAATTTAAATGTAGTTTTACATTTAAATATGTAAATTTTCTAACAGAAAAGTATGTCAACAGAGACAAACAAGGTGCTTACACTGAGCCATGTGGCTCGGGGATAATTGTAACACAATGTTACAATTGCCCCTGATGTTGCAGCCATGATAAAATCTTGTATGCTAGCTAGCCATGCCTATATTAGCCTAGGTTGTTCATGCTAATTTTTTATCAATAACCTATAGTGATAAAATGTAAGATAAAATTCGCAGTCATCTAAACTTTAAACAGCAGAAGAAAAATACTTTCATACCTCAAAATCAGTATTTTGTTAAACTTCTGCTGAGGTTAAATGATTGTGCTCCTTTTTCACAGGCAGAGAGAGAATCCTGCTGAGCATGTGCAGATTAAGTGTCATCACTCTAGCTGTTTTCTGATTGGAGTAATTGAGAGTGTTACAATTGCCCCCGGTCTCCCCTGCACACTAGGTACTATAACCTATACACCAACACCTCATTCAGAATTGATTTAGCCATAATAATTCTTCTTCTCAGTTTGAGAGAGAGACCGAAGAGCAGAGAGAAAGGTCAAAGTGCGCACCTGAGTTCATCAGGGTGAAAGAGAGCCTGAAGAGGACAGCGATCACAAGTGCAGTGGAGAAAGAGCTGTAATCACGTATCACCTTACATCACTGATCTACAGGAGTGTTGATACTCCTCCAGCTGCTGATTTGAACAGTTCTTTAGTTTTTTTTTTTTTTTTAGAAAGCTTGGGGTTTGGATTTTGAATGAAATCACAGATTGTGAAAAACCAATGTTGAGGACAGGAATGTTGAAAATGTGGGCTAATGTTATGTCACATGTTAAGCACTTGTAATGGTCTAATAAGATTTCACCTTAATTGCACCAGTGAGAGAAACACACAAGAACAGAATAACTCCAATGTACTGGAACTGTATCTAGTGTTTGAGTATAGAAATGATTGATCTCCCATATTTGTAGATTATATACTTTTATGATCAGACAGCAATCTTTTCCACTTTTGTCTTATGTTATATGTAAATCATTTGGTATGTTCAAATATGCAAACTAGTTTCGGATATAGTGCACTAGTGCATTTAACAAAATGTGCAGTACAAAAAGAACTGCATTATGGGAACACTGTATCCCATAATGCAGTTTCAGATTTGATTTTCCATTTAGTTTGACAAATGAACTGGCACTGTAAATTACAAATTGTAGCATCTCTACAATCTCTACATTTCTTGACTTATTTGATTCGACAGGCAATCTTAATTATTTAAAATAACATACATAATGCATAGTTTTCCCTACACATTTTTTTTAAACAACATACATTATCACACAATATAATAAAATGATCCTTTACAGATAAGATATTGTTGATTTATACTGTCTGTGTAAGTGGCTTTTTACTTAAAGGAATAGTTTGTTTCTTAAACAGATTTGGTGAAATTTAGCATTACATTAATTGCTCACCAGTGGATCCTCTGCAGTGAATGGGTGCCGTCAGAATGAGAGTCCAAACAGCTGATAGAAACATCACAATAATCCACAAGACTACAGTCCATCAATTAACATCTTGTGAAGTGAAAAGCTGCATGTTCTAATAAACAAATCCACCATTGAGGTGTTTTAACTTTAAAAGCTGCATGTTCTAATAAACAAATCCACCATTGAGGTGTTTTAACTTTAAACAGACTTAAGCCATGTGGATTTCTTGTGGATTATTGTTACTGTTTGGACTCTCATTCTGACGGCACCCATTTACTGCAGAGGATCCATTGATGAGCAAGCGATGCAATGCTAAATTTCTCCAAATCTGCTCCGACGAAGAAACAAACTCGCCTACATCTTGGATGGCCTGACGGTGAGTACATTTTCAGCCAATTTAAATTTGAGTGAACTGTTCCTTTAAGAGCTTTTCCACTCATGCGATGTTAAAGGTCCCCCTGAAATGCTTAGAAACACGCAGCGTTACTCTGTGTTGACGTCATTTTAACTGAACAGGGCGGGACATATCAAGCAGCCCCGCCCCTTTTTAAAATAGCCAATAGCGTTCGTTTATATCACAGCTTGGGCTAGAGCCGTTCAGAGAGCAGAATACGCAAAAAAATTCCAAAGAAGAAGCTGTTCAGAGCCGTTGAGCTCCGTAAAGCCGCATTTGACAGGGTATGCCAGCCATAATCTCATCCATATTGCAATAAAATATAGCATTCTGTGTAGAATTCAAATAGCTCCGATACATTTTGTGGTCTGCGCATGTGATCCGCTCCGTGCTATCGTGTCTCTGGACCGGAGCAGAGTGTGTGTGCGGTGGTTAGCGTGACACAGCGCAAAACCAGACTTCTTTTTTTCCTCAACTGAAAGCATATTTACACTGTTTGAATCGTTCCCTATCCCCTATATAGTGCACTACGTGCCATTCACTGTACAGAAAATACTAATTCTGTGGACAAGTAACCGATTTCAGCCGCGGCTTCAGCGTCTATTTTATAGTGTAGGGGGCGGGGCTTCGGATTCTAGAGAGCATTTGATTGGACAGAAAGTTTGATGAGAAGCAGAAGTACGATGTGACGTCAAAAAAATTCGTTGAGCCGTTTTGGCGGAAGTGACGAACTGCAAGCTTTGAATGCTTATATCTTCTAAATGCGAATTTTGTCACTGTTTTGGAGCACACTGCCTTATAGATAACCTCAAAACTAACGCATTGACACTAACACCCAAAAAACTTTAATTTTGATTTCATGGGGACTTTAACATAAATCAGATGATTCTGATCTCACATGTTTCAGCTAACAACACCACTTAGTTTTTTGTAAATATGTTTTATACATTTTGTAGTCTTTAAATAAAGGGATTTTGACAGTTTAGAGTATATCAATTGAAAGTACCAACCACAGTCTGCCTTTGCATAGCACTCTGATGTGAACTTTATTTGCACTGTACACAAAGATTTTACTGAACACACAATGCATAGACAAGGAGTGTTTATTCATAACGTGCTACTACTTGTATATTTTAAGGGTACAAATCATTGGCTCTTCATAACTCCATTGATAACACCTGATGCATTGCATCCATACATTTGTAGCTTTTACAAAAAAGATATACAATATATGTACAGTATACATCATGTTTGTATAATACACATACTGTATTTGTGTCTCCTCTTCACTTCCTGAAGTGTGCGCCATGTGAAAAAAAATGTCATAATCGATCAAGGGAGGAATTAACTACCCCAAAACAGGGGTGTTACTTCCTATAGTACTTTTCAAAGCCAAAGTAAGTCATAGATGACTCCTAATGATATTTAATCAGCCCTTCTGAGGCAGTTTGCATAATTACCATAATGAACTGATTGCTGAACTGCTCATTAGACTGTTGCATTTTTATACTAATTACATCGTTGATTGCACTTGGGTTTGACTCAGTTCTAAAATTAAATATTTTAATTATATATGTACTTCATATTTTAGAATTTGATTGAATTTTATAAATATTAAATGAAAATTTAAAAAAAATATTTTACATTAAAAATAAAAATGTTAAATAAATTGTTATATTGACAACACTTCTGACAAACTAAACATTTACTTTA